TTAATAATAAAATCTGAATCTATTAATTTTTCTATTTTTTTTATTTTATTTACTGTCTGTTTGAAGCTCCATCAGATTAAAAACATGGAGCCCAGAGGAACCAGAGCGACGCGCGGCTCACCTGGTTGGTGGAGAGCCGCGCGCCCTCGGAGACCAGCAGCTGCACCAGCACGTGCAGCCCGGACGTGAAGAGGCCGGCCAGGATGGCCCAGGTGAGCGGCAGCGGCAGCATGCTGTAGGTGGCGAACAGCGTGAAGAGCACGTAGCCCACCCCGTCCCCCAGCAGCCCGTAGCCCAGCCCGGCCGCCAGGATCTGCGTGGCCATGGCCACCCAGGTGACCACGCCGCTGTACTGCAGGTAGCTGTGCGACGTGGCGTCCTTCCGCACCACCACCAAGGCGCAGATCACCACCTCGATGCCCGTGAAGAAGCCCAGCAGGGCGCCCTTCACCGGGTCCATGGGGGACGAGGCCAGGGTGAGGTGCAGCACGAGCAGRGTGAGCTTGGTCACCACGTCCAGGATGTTCATCACCACCACCGACTTCCGCCTCTGGCCCAGGAAGTACCGCTGGTACAGCCGCTCCAGGTCCCGGGACTTGAAGGCGTTCCTCAGGGTGGGGAAGATGACCCCCCGGTACGTGTAGCCCCAGTTCAGGAAGAAGTCCGAGTTGCTGGGCGCGCAGTCCAGCTGCAGGAAGCCCAGGTCGCTGCTCGCGCGCTCGGGGAACACCTTGGTCCCGCCGTTGTTGTGCCGGTCCCCCGCCGACGACTGCTTCCGAGCGCCCTGGATGGGGTCGAAGGGGTCGTCTTTGAGCCCCCCTCCCCCGCCCTGCTCGTGGATGAAGCGCTGCTCGGTGATGTGGCGCACGGCGGTCTGCCACAGCAGCCGTTTGGGGCGCGCGCTGCCGCTGCCGGGGGTCTTGTTGATGGTGTACAGGTCCTCGCTCGCGCTGGAGCACCGGACCTCGGACAGCTCCATCCCCGCCCCCTCCTCCTCCTCCTGCCGCCGCGGGATCCGGTCTGAGCGCTCGGTTCGGTTTGCGGTCCCCCCTCCCTTCCTGTCGGATCAGCGGCTTTGGGAAGGCGACGTCCTCTCGTGCGCATCGAACCGAGGGCGCGCGCTTTTCCCTCGGGCTGTGTGGAGAATGGCGCGAGATGGAGCGCGGCTGGAGGTCATGGTCCGGCTCCCAGACGGAAACGGGCTCCTAAACGGGAGGAAAAACGGGTCCCGGATCAGCCGTCATGGTGTCCCCGTGCAGCGCCGCGCGCCATCGGGGTGTCGGGGTCCGGGGAGGACCAGGTTTAGTCTGGGGGTGCAGAGAAACCCCCTCGAACCGGTCCGTGCGTCGCAGGATCCTGTTATTCTGCGGGATTTTATTTTATTTTATTATTTTTATTTTATTATTTTTATTCAGGCATGCAGCAAAAAGAGCCAAAGATAAAAATCCGCTCTGCTCCTGCAGGATTCCCTGAAAACATCCAGGAAAATAAAAATAATCCTCTCGGACTCCGCAGGATCCAGATCCAGGTCTCCCTCGCGCTCCGATGCAACACCTGTCCGTGTGGCGGGAAACAACAAGGATAAAATAAAAAAAAAAGGCGTCAGAATCCTCTGCCTCCTTCAGTCCCGTGCGTCTCCGAGCTGCGCGCGAGTCCTCCCGCTTCTCCCTCTCCTCCTCCTCCTCATCCTCCTCCTCCTCCTCCTCCTCCTCCTCGGTGGGTGCAGGCAGAGCAGTACCCGCGTGGAGCTGAGCCGAGCCCGGCTGGTCAGCGGAGGCACGGCGGCGCGAGCGGTTTGACGTCACCTCTGTATGTCTGCGCGTGTTTGTGCCCCCCCCCCCCCCCCAACAATCCCACGCTCTTCATCTCATCCTTTTGTCCTCCTCTCCTCCTTCCTTCCTTCCTTCCTCTCTTTGTTTCTTCTGCAGCTCCTGACCTCACATCTGATTCTGGAGGTTTTGGACCAGATCCTGGTCCAAATAAATGGAAATCTGCTTTTTTATGTTAGACAGCATCACCCTGCGTAATCTGAGCCTCAACTTTTAATCTGAAATTACCTCCTTTTTAGTCTGGTTTAGATTTAAATCAGGCTTTTATTTTGAAGAAGCCTCTCTGATCATTAAATGGACTCCTGGAGGACTCGGCCCACCTCACCTGCATCAGGTCAGGTTCACAGTTACACAAGAAGAAAGAGACAAAAATGGCTTCTGTCCAAAACAGAACCCCCCAAAAACCCCGAGGACCGACGAGACCTGGACCACGAACTGATGGAACCACGGTTCAGACGGAAGAACTAATCACCATTTCTGTTTTTATACAAAATTTAGTCTAAAATTAYGATTTTATGAAGAATAAGTTCTCCAGACCAACCTGGTCCTGTCAGGGTTCAGMTGGTCTCCAGTGGTCCTTCCCACCAAAGACTTGTCCTGTTAGTCTGAAAGTTTGACTCAAATTAAGTCAAAAATTTCTGCCAATGGAAGAAAATTTAACTTGAAATTATAATTCTTGAAATACTTGATTTGACTCAATTTTTTCTTATTTCAAGAATCTTAAGTAAAATGTTCTTCCTCCACTGACAGAAATGTTTGACTTGATTTGAGTCAAATTTTCAGACTAAAGACAAATAATCTGAGACATTCTGAAAACAAGATGATTATTCTTACACAGTCAGTTCTTGGCTGATAWAAGGTTTTAAAACTTGGTAAGAYGGACAGTTTTTGCRGTGTGGGTCTTGATGTTAGAACCTCCACAGGTGCAGCGACGAGTCCAGAATCCTGCTCCCCTGAGTCCTCCATCATTCTCCTCTAAAACCAACCGTTTTAATCTGAACATCCTGGTGCTGCAGCAGGCAGAGCTTCATGTCTGCATCTTTAAATGTTCAGTTTCTCCTGCGGTCCGGACCCCCTGAGCCGACGAAGATGTGGGTAAAACATGGATGGAGCTTAACATGAGGCCTGCAGGCCTTTTAATTACAGTAAACAAAACTGAATAATCAGGAGAACGAGAGAGAAAAAACCTCCYCAGAGACGTTTTTAACATCATATCTGCTCTCCTGCCACAGGAGTGTTGGTTAAAGACAAACAGATTCCAATTAATGCATCAAGTCGGCTTCAAACCGGAGCAGATGAGCCTCCATCCTCCCTGCTGTGACAGTCTTGCCCCAGTTTCCTCTTATCCATGAGAAGCAGAGCCGAGGCCTGACTGGACCCAGATTAGACGGGTTAAAATGACTCCCCCCTAAACCTCCAGGATCTGAGACCCCCACGCAGGGCTGCAGGCGTCAGGGAGCGTCGCCTCGTTCACATTCCTGCTATTTTTACCTCCTTTCTTCTGCTCCCGTATCTCTGCTGAAGCTGCTCGTTCTGCTGATTCCCTGAGGAAAGATTTACAGAAACCCCCCCCAAACACTGTCAGCAGCCGCTCGTCTTCTCCAGCCYAACCTGTCCTCGTCCCCAAACTGGGACATGGAGACCGGGGGGCTGAGGACGAAGCTGGAGACAGATTTATTCCTCTTYTTTAAATAAATAATAAAATAAAATGAAGACATTCCCAGTTAAAACATTACAAACAGTTAAATAAGAAGAGAAACATCTTCATCATCATCATCAGCTCCTGACTCCCAGCAGGACCACTGGTTCCTGCTGGGATCTTAGCTACAACCAGTATCAAGTCCTCATAAGTTTAGCTACTTATTGTAGACTTCAGCTGCTATTTTGACCTTTGTGGCTTTTATCTAATGCTATGTTAGATTTCAGCTCATGATTAGATTATTTTAGCTTTCAGCTACCTTTTTTTGCTTAACTTAGTCTTTAGCTGCTGTTAAGCTTGTGTAACTTGTAGCTACTGTTGTGTTGCGCTTATATTTTACCCACTGTATTTCTGATTTTAACATTTGGCTATGGTTTTATTTTAGACTTTAGCTACTGTTTTGGTCATTGTTTTAATGAGTTGGTATTAGCTTTTAGCTATTTCCCTGATAAGTGCAGATTTTAGCTACTGTTTTGCTTAATTTAGTCTTTAGCTACTCTTTTAAAAATTGTGGCTTTTACCTAATGTGTTAGATTTCAGCGACAGATTTGATTATTTTAGCTTTCAGCTACTGTTTTTGCTTAATTTAGTCTTTAGCTGCTGTTGAACTAACATGTAGCTACAGTCTTGTTAAGCTTCTGTTTTAGCCACTGTATTTCTGATTTTAGCTTTTGGCTATGGTTTTTGGTTATTTTAGATTTTAGCTACTGTTTTGATCATTGTAGCTTTYAGTGAGCTGGTATTAGCTTTTAGCTATTTCCCTGATAATTGCAGCTTTTACCTACTATTTTGCTTAAGTAGCTTTTAGCTTTTTTAGCTAACCTGACCTTTGACCTCTCAGACCGTCCTGCAGCAGCAGGCGGTGAGCTGAAACCTCGGCTCAGCTCCACCATCCGTGAACAACAGAAAACACAAACRGCTCGCATATCAGCTGCACTTCGGCTGCAGTGATTCACTGAACCTTTGGCTCGTTTTTCAGACCAACACAAAGTGAGTCAGACTCTAATGAACTCGTTACTGGAGACGACAAACAGCTGCTGGTGATGTCACCCCATTAAAACCATTATAAACTCATTTAAAAAGATTTTATCCATTGTTCTTTAAAGAGGCGATACAAAGAGCTAAAATTTAAATGGTTTTAGCTCTTCATCTAGTAGAGATGACTCTCAGCTACTACCACCCGAAACTCTAAAACTAATTAAATTATTTTGTTGTTCTTATTTTAATGAGTTCATGGCGGCCATCTTGATTTTAATGATTCCTGTTGACAAACATCCAATCATCACTTTGTAAAAACGCCATTCCAATCCGTCCAGTGGTTCAGGAGGTATTTTGCTAACAGACAGTTACATGACATAAAACACATCGTTTAAAATAATTTAGTGAAAACAAGAGAAATTACATTAAAAAACTATTTGAAGACTGAAGCTAAACAAGCTAAAACTGTATTAGAATTTTAAAAACACTAGCTAAAAGCTAAGAAAAAAGTAAACAACTGCCAAAACTCAAATGTAGCCAAACAACTCCAGCTCAGAGCTGAAGTGGCAAAAACKAGCTAAAAGCATTTAATGCCAAAACTGAAAACTAAAATAGCTAAAGTAGCWCAAGCTAAAAGCTAAAATAGCAAAACAATTGCTCAAAGCTGAAGAACCTGAGCGAGTAGCTGAAACATGAAGGAAATGAAAAATTAATCATGTGAGGAAAATATTTGTAAAGAAGGTAAAAATACAAACTGAACGAGCCGAATGTTTTGAAACGAGAACAGCTAAAACAGCTCGAACGCTGACTCAGCATTCTGTTTCCATTATCATGAATCAGCGCATTTAATTGTTGACCTTAAACATTAACGTTAATCTTTACTCCGACCTGTTTGACCCAAACCTTTACTTCTTCTGTTTAAATGAAGTTAAAACAGTTTTTCCATTAAAGCTTTTTGTTTTCGTTTGTTGGTTTTTTGTGACCTCGGCTGTTTGCAGCGTTTAGAAGGTGCTCCTGGATTATCAGGAGTAATCAAAAGCTATTTGTAGAAGCACAATTGCTGTTTTTTAAAGTGTCCCTCAGCTCAGAGCTCTTCATAAATCAAATCAATATGCAGAAAGCTTTAAATCACAGTTCACTGAATATAATCAGCTGTAAAAGCTGCTTGTTTTGATTATCTCTGCTGAAGATGCACGTGTGGGTTTTTACAGACACAAACTGAAGTTCAGTTTTTACCAGATGTTTTCAGCTCAGTTTGTTTAAGCTGCTGCCGGAGGAGGAGGAGGAGGAGGAGGGTGTAATGCTCACCTTCCTCTGGTTAAATAAAGGTTAATATTTAGACAGAAGAGCTGCAGCTGAAGAGGCAGAGAGGCTTTCATTCAGGTGAATAATCACCGAGTGTGGGGAAAGTTGATCTGCAAACTGAAGCTCTCTGTTCTCTGCAGGTTTCTCTTCAGCAGGAGGACGGTTTGATTTCTGAGTCGTCCTCCTGACAGCAGCRGCAGCTCGCTCTGTGACGTGAGCGATGCCGCGCAGGAACCTGAATTCAATTCCTGCTTGTAACCGTGTTACCGGCCCCGCAGGCCTCGAGAAGAATCACGTTWAATCTCTGCAGCATCCGTCGGTCCGACTCCGCGGTGCCGCTGACGTTATCGGGCCGGATCAGCTGCCTCACGTCTGAGCTGCAGTCCAGGAGTCGGACCTCGTTTTACCCCCGACGTCCCTCTTTGCTCCGTCATGCTTGTAGAAAGACCCTAATGACCCTCAGGAGGGAGGGGAGGGAGACTGATTTAGATCACAACAAACGCTGCAGCTCTCACCTTAACAGCTTATAACCCTGAAAATCTTCTTCGTCTTAGCTTTTAGCTACTGTGTTGTTGAACTTTAGCCACTGGTTTGAACTTTTAGCTACAACCAGTATCAATAGTTTTGATTATTTAAACTTCCAGCTGCTGTTACAGCTAATGTTTAGCTCATTGTATATAGTAACCACTTTTTTTGCTGGTCTTAGCTTTTAGCTACTCAGAAATGTAGATTTCTGCAACTGTTTTTGCTTATTTTATCATTTAGCTACTGTTTAACTTATTATATTTAGCTATTGTCAGGCTGATTGTAAACTTTAGCTGCAACAAGTACCAATAGTTTTGATCCTTTAAACTTTCAGCTACTGTTACAGCTAA